AAAAAATTGAAAGTGAAAAGAAAAAAAAATTCACATTTTACTGTCATTTTTATTAGTTTAAATAATTGACTGTACCAAAACATCCCAATTTACAAGGATACCCTAGTAACTCCCTATAAAGATTACATTTATGAAATGATCTGTCTTAGTATACATAATTACATACACACAATTTTATTTCTACTAAGTGAATATATCTTAATTCTCAATTTAGATTTTTCTCATGTTGATTTTATATATATACATATGCATACGCTTGTCGTGTCTCGATGTCCTATATTTTGAATATTAGCCATGATCGTGTCCGATATTTGTTTTGCAGTTAGTGCTTCATACTGTATTATGGGGTAACTACTAATGCGAGAACTCTAGGAGATGAGACTAAGGATTTTTTTTTATAAGGATAGAATTGCATCAGTCATTAGGGCTCAAGCTTGAGAGTTGAGATGGGACCAGTCTTTAGTGTGCTCAACAGGGACATACATAAGATTATTCTTACTGCATGCATGTTGCGGATGATATAGTTTTTATTGAGAAATAAAGGGAAGAGGTTAACTCTAAACTTGAGCTTTGGTGATAGACTTTTGGAACGAGAGAGTTTTTAAGTAGGAGTTAAATGAATTATATGCATTGCAATTTTAGCAAGAAACAAGAGGAAAACAACTTGGGAGTAAATGTGGGAGAAGATGTCATACCATATGTTTCTAAGTTCAAATATCTGAAATCAAAATTATATAAATGATGGGAAATTAATAAAGATGACACACATAGGATACAAATTGGGTTGTTAAAATGGAAAAAGACATCAAAGATTATATATGATTGTTATCTTAGAGCTCAAAGTTTGTGGGAAGTCGTGGAAAATGGAAGCAACCCAGCTCCTTTACTAGAAAACCCAACAATGGCTCATGTAAGATTTCACAGTGATGAAGTGGCTAAAGAAGGCAGAGCACTTGCCATCATACAAGCGATTGTTCATGACGATGTTTTTATCAAGATTTTGAATCTTGATACAACAAAAGAGGCTTGGGAAAAACTCAAGGAGGAGTTCCACGGCAGTGAAAGAACAAGGAGGATGAATGTGCTAAATTTGAGAAGAGAATTTGAAGCCATCAAAATGAAGGAAGTTGAAATAGTGAAGGAGTTTGTTGACAGGCTTTCTAAAGTGGTTACATAAATCAAATTATTCGGTGAAGAACTTAGTGATCAAAGAGTTGTGGAGAAAATATTGGTATGTCTTTCGGAGAGATTTGAGTCAAAAATCTCCTCTCTCGAAGAAAATAAGGATTTTTCTCATATATCAATTTCAAAACTTGTAAATGCTTTACAAGCCACTGAACAGAGAAAATATTTAAGGATGGAAGAAAATGTTGAAGGTGCTTTTGTGGTTAATACCAAAGGCAAATTTCAAGGCAGCAGTAGTTGTGGGAAAAAGCCATTTAGTGGGAAGAAAGGAAAAGAAAAAAAAAAAACAAGAAGAAAGCAATAGAGGAGGAGGTTGGAAAGACAAGTATCCACCTTTCTCTTACTATAAGAAAAAGAATCATACAGAAAATTTCTGTTGGTTTAGAGGAGTCAAATGTAGGGCATGCAACCAACTTGGTCATGTGGAGAAAGTGTGCAAAAGCAAAGTAAAGCAACATGGACAACAAGCCCAAGTTGTTGAGCATGAAGAACAAAATAAAGAGCATTTATTTGTTGCTTCTTGTTATTTAGAAAATAGGAGCAAGGAGGTGTGGCTTATAGATAGTGGATGCACAAATCACATGACAAATGATGCAAGTATTTTTCAAGGAATTGGATCAATCTCACTTCTCAAAAGTCACTGTTGGCAATGGAGAAAGTGTTGAAGTTAAAGGCAAATGAGTTATTGCTATAGAAAGGTCTCCAGGTACTAAATATATTTCAGATGTTTTATATGTACCTAAGATAAATCAAAATCTTCTAAGTGTGGGACAAATGCTTGAAAAGAATTATACTTTGCATTTTGAAGACATGAAATGCACCATATTTGATCCTTCTGGGTGTGAGCTAATGTCTATCAAAATGAGAGATAAGAGTTTTCCAATAGAATGGAAGCAACTTGCTATGCATGCTTTTCCAAGTTCAGTAGATGATTCTGTTTTATGGCACAAAAGACTTGGTCATTTTAGTTACTCCACCTTGAAGCAAATAAGCTCAAATGGCTTAATTCAAAACTTACCTTCCATAGAAGATGATGTTGATGTTTGTGATGTATGTCAATTTGGAAAGCAATGTAGATTTCCATTCCCTGCAGTAGCAAGCTGGAGAGCTATGGAAAAATTACAGCTTATCCATACTGATGTGTGTGGTCCAATGAGCATAGCATTTTTAAATGGCAGCAAATATTTTTTGCTATTTATAGATGATTTTACAAGAAAGAGTTGGGTGTTTTTTCTAAAACAAAAATTAGATGTGTTTGCTGCATTTCAGAAGTTTAAATTTTTGGTTGAGAATGAAGCTGGTTGTCAAATTAAAAAACTCAGATCTAACAATGGAACTAAGTATACAACAAGGGAATTTAAAAAGTTTTGTGATCAAGCTAGAATACAACATCAGTTCATCGTTCCTTACACTTCTCAACAAAATGGAGTGAGTGAAAGAAAGAACAGAATAGTGATGGAGATGGCTCGGTGTTTGCTCTTTGAGAAAGGTCTTCCAAAGACTTTTTGGACTGAGACGGTAAATACCTCAGTTTACTTGCTGAATTTATTGCCTACCAAAGCATTGAAGGGTAAAACACCTTATGAAGCATGGTGTGGAAGTAAGCCTTTAGTGGAGCATTTAAAAAATATTTGGTTGTGTGTGTTACACTCATGTTCCAAATGTGAAAAGAGATAAACTTGATTATAAGTGTGAAGTTGGTATTTTTTTGGGATACAATATCAATTCCAAAGGATACCGAGTATACAACTTGGAGACAAAAAAAATTATTGTTAGCAGAGATATAATATTTGATGAGTTTTCAAAATGGAATTGGAAGAAACATCAAGTAGAAGGCTCAAGTAAAGGGCTGTTTGATGAAGACACTTTGCAAGAGCAAGATTTTGAAGATGATGAAGAGAACTATGATAGTGACACTGAATTTCCAGTGAGAGGTACAAGAACCTTGGAGGATATTTATGCAAGATGTAATGTTGCTGCATTAGAGCCTACAAGGTATGAATGAAGAAGCTGCTGAGTTTGAAAGCTGGAGAGCTGCCATGAAGGAGGAGATAAAGATGATTGGGAAAAATAAAACTTGGCAACTTGTTGATAGGCCAAGTAATAAAAAAGTGATTGGTGTTAAGTGGGTTTACAGAACTAAACTCAATCCTGATGGTTCTGTAAACAAACTTAAGGCTAGATTGGTGGTAAAAGGTTACTTCCAACAATATGGAGTTGATTTTTCTTATACGTTTGCACCTGTTGCAAGACATGATACAATCAGATTATTGATCTCTTTGGCAGCAAAGCTTGGCTGGAAAATTTATCATTTTAATGTAAAATTAGCTTTTTGTTATCTCCCTTGACAAGTGTACCAAATTGTATAAGTAGTTCAATGAAAGTATGAGTATTGTCTCTCAAGGGACTTGCGCAACACTTTGCAATTTCACTTGTTATACTAACTAAGCTACCGGAAAGCAATAAGAGTTTGATTTGCTATAGTAAATAATGTAAACAAGTAATAATAATTCTTTTTGGTATTTTGGTAAACACTTAGAGTGCAAAACTTGATTCTAATGCAATATTAATAAATTGTTGGGGTTTGACTTCACTAAACCTTTTTTGACTCAAACCTCTCCGGAAGACATACCAATATTTTCTCCACAACTCGTTGATCACTGAGTTCTTCACCCAATAATCTGATTTGTGTAACCACTTTAGAAAGCCTGTCAGCAAACTCCTTCACTGTTTCAGCTTCCTTCATTTTGATGGCTTCAAATTCTCTTCTCAAATTTAGCACCTTCATCCTCCTTGTTCTTTCACTACCTTGGAACTCTTCCTTGAGTTTGTCCCAAGCCTCTTTTGCTGTATCAAGATTCAAAATCTTGATAAAAACATCATCATGAACAGCTGCTTGTATGATGGCAAGTGCTCTACCTTCTTTAGCCACTTCATCACTATGAAATCTTACCTGAGCCATTGTTGGGTTGTCTGGTAAAGGAGCTGGGTTGCTTCCATTTTCCACCACTTCCCACAAACTTTGAGCTCTAAGATAAGTTCTCATCTTTGCAGCCCATAAATCATAATTTTCTCCAGCAAATACTGGAGGTGGAGGTAAGGAATTGCTATCGGAAGCCATTGGTTGAAGGTTTTTTGAGTGGGTTTCTTGTTGGTTTTCTCTCACACACAGAAACTCTGTTTTTCAGATTTTCTTTTTCTTTCTCCCTCACAGACCCTAAAAGATCAATGAAGCTCTTGATACCATAATGAAAACGGCCGCTCCGCGCCGCTATCCGGGATTGACTACTATGGTACCTACCAAATTCAAAGGAACGTTTTATTGTATTGTTGTATGTTTAGCTATATTCTATGGTAGTGAATGTTGGGTTTTAAGATGGAAGTAGCAAAAATAAAAAGTTAAGTGGATGTGTGGCCACACAAAAAGGACATGATATGAAATGATTATATATGGGAATATATTGGTATGACACCAGTCGAGGAAAAGATGACATTAAAATGGTTTGGACTCATGCAAAGAAGCTCACTAGAAACTTCAGTGAGGAGAATAGATTGTGTAGTTTTTAGGTTTGTGGAAAGAGGGAGAGAGCGAAATCAAGAAGGATATTTGAGAAAATTGTAGAGGGATCTCATGGTGAATGATATCCTTGAGAATTTGGTCTTTAATCGAGCTCAATGGTTTCATGCGATGCATGTAGCCAACTTCACCTATTGGCATAAGACTTCTGTTGTTTGTTTGTTGTCTTCTCCTTCCTTCTTATTTATTTATTTATTTTTATCTCAATTGGCAGTATTTAATGTATGTTAACCTGCAGGTTAAAATAGAAGAGTTAGTGGCTGAAATGGGTGGAGTTCTACAGAATAAAGCATCATCAGATATGAACTTTGTCATTGTGAAAAATGTTTTAGCTGCAAAGTACAAGGTCTGGTACATCAGGTTTTTATTGCATATTTCCAATTTAATCTTAATTATCAAACACTGAGACACATTATGCAGATATTGTTGCAAGCAGGCAGCTCTTTATTTTCTGTCTTATTGTATTCCATTTTATTCATGTTGCTGATTAGTTTGTGTCATGTTTCATCTTGCATCTTATTATCCCCTCCCTCAATCCGCCACAGTACCTCATGTTAACAAAGATCTCATTTTCCGAATATGCTTGAGTGATAATTCCACCCAGCAGAATGGATTTATTTATATACAAGAGAATTACAAAGATAATTAATGCCAAAAAAATTTACAAGAGAACAATTAAGATACCACTACTTCCTAGGATGCTTTGAACCTATCTATACCAAGTATCTAGGCAACTTAGAGAAATAAACATTAAAGGAGTTCTTATCTCATAAAATCTTGCTATTTCCAACACCACACATACAAAGAATAGGGGAATTGTATGTGTTGTGCAAGCTTAAGTCTATTGAAAGAGCTATCTACCTCATTGCTTGACATTTGTTGAAGGGAGTAATAACAGAGCATTTGGTCCAAAAAGGCAAAGCTTCTGGACTTGGACATTAATAGAGTTGTGAGAGAGAAAGATAAAGGGAGTGAGAGAGAGAAAAGAAAACAGAGGAAACGAGAGAAAGTATATGACAGAAAATTGTAATTTCATTAGCTAGCTGAAAAGTGAGTACAATACAGATATATATAGAGCCAATTTATATTGGTCTATATTAACAGAAATAAATGTGTATATATATATTTTAGGAGTAAAGCTATACTCCAATAGACATATTCTGTGTTAACTGGCTAACAATTTAGAAATTAATATTTTTTTCTGTCCAGGCTCATTGTCGTGTCTGTATTTAGTACAATTTGGTATGATACCTCAGTAGTTACATTCAAAGTCAATGTTTCCGATTCTTAAGTAAGAATATTCAAATCATGACAGATTGCTTTCCCAGGTTTCCATTGTTATAGCTTGGTGTTCTTTTCTTAAAGTTTAATAATGACTTTCAAGTTTCAACGTTTTCTTTATTGCTGTATTGTTTGTTTTTATTTTTTTTGTTAGATAAAATCAAGGGAGATAAAAATGTAATAGAGAAGCTTCATTATCATTGTTGCTTACAAATGAATACACGGGTTCAAAATATATAGGGAATCCTTTCTAAAATACAGCAGAGAGAGAAAAGTGTGAAAACAGTTGTAAAAAGAAAACAGAAAAGAGAGAAACTAATGAGAGGTGGCTGGAAAGATGTAAAATAAAAGATTCTGAAGTTATCCAAAAGATATAACAGAATGCAAAAAGTACATAAAGGCTAACAAACAAATATTCCCTTTTTGTTGTAATTTTATATACAGTAACAGCCCCCCTCAAACTCAAGGTGGAGGTTTGTCACAAAAACTTTGCGCGTTGAGTTTGCCCCTAAGAACTTCAAATTGAGTATCAGACAGTGGCTTAGTAAGAAGATCAACCCATTGATCGAGAGCGGGTATGTGATAAACCAGAAGTTGCTTGGAGAGAACTTTGTCACGAACAAAGAACACATCAATCTCCATGTGCTTTGTTTTGCTGTGGAAGACAGGATTGTGGGCAATGGCCACTGCACTTTGATTGTCACAGAGCAAAGTAGGTATAGATAAGGGAACCTGAAGTTCCTGCAGAAGAGCTTGAATCCAAGTTAACTCAGTAGAAGCTTGAGCTATACTGCGATATTCAGCTTCTGTGCTGGACCGAGCAATAACGCGCTATTTCCTGGACCACCAAGATATCAAATTGGGTCCAAAAAAGATAGCAGAACCAGAAGTGGACCTCCTGTCATCAATATCAGAGGCCCAATCAGCATCACAGAAAGCAGTAAGAGAGATGGGATCGTCTACATCAGCAGGTTGCATATGAAGACCATAAGAGAGTGTGCCTTTTAAATACTTTAGGATTCGTTTGACAGCCACCCAGTGAGAGTCAAGAGGATTAGCCATGAATTGACAAACTTTGTTAACAGTAAAACTAATTTCAGGTCTTGTTAGTGTAGCATACTGTAAGGCACCAACAATAGATCTAAAAAGAGTGGGATCATGAAAGAAGTCATTCCCAGACCTGGACAATTTGCAGTTAGAGAACATAGGAGAAGGAGCACCATGAGCTTCAGCCATATTGGTTTTATAGAGAAGATCTCGAATGTACTTGCTTTGAGTCAGAACCAGAGATTTGTCAGGCAAGTATTTAACCTCAATACCTAGAAAGTAATCCAAGCTTCCCAATTGCTTTAAAGAAAAAATGGAGTCAAGTTGATTGGTGATTTGGTGAATGAGGGAAGAAGAGTTGCCAGTGATAATGATGTCATCCACATAAACTAGAATAAAGATGGTATGAGTTTGGTGTTTGTACCAAAACAGAGATGGATCACACTTACTAGCTTGAAAACCAAACTGAGTAAGAGTCAATTTCAGTTTGTCAAACCACTGTCGAGGGGCTTGTTTCAAGCCATAGAGAGCCTTGTTGAGCTTACAAACTAGAGTCTTATCCTCAGCTTCAAAGCCAGGAGGCTGCACCATGTAAATAGTTTCTTCTAGATTGCCATTCAGAAAGGCATTATTTACATCAAGCTGAAATAGGTCCCAGTTATGGGTGAGAGCAAGAGTGATAATGATTCAAATAGTTATAGGTTTAATAATAAGAGAAAATGTCTCATGAAAATCAAAACCATGCACTTGATGAAAACCTTTTGCAACCAGCCGAGCTTTGAGCTTATCTATAGAGCCATCAACATTTTCCTTGACTCTGAAAACCCATTTACATCCAACGGCTTTGCGATCAGATGGCAGGGAAACTAAATCCCAAGTATGGTTGAGCATTAAGGCATTGTACTCTTGTTGCATAACAAAGAACCAATTAGGATCAGCAAGAGCTTGCTTAACATTTTTAGGTTCACTGTGAGCCAAGAACAGAGATGGATGTAACCGAGGATTATGAAAGCCAAATTTAGACCGGGTTTGCATGGGATGGTTATTAATGGTTCTAGGAATACTTTCAGTGTCAGTGGAAGAGGTATGAGAAGAGACATTATGTGAGGAAGACTCATGAGATGAAGGAGACACATTTTGTGAAGAAGACACTGTAGGATTGATTGATACACTTGGATCAGCAATTTGAGACGACAGAGGAGGCTGTTGTGAGAGAACAGGTAAAGTATTGCAAGGAGGAGACAAATCCGGATTGAGAGTGAAGTATTGACATGGAGAGACATTTTGAGTAGGACTTGGCTAAAACAAATCTGTGTAAGGAAACCTATGTTCATTAAAAATGACATCTTTTGAAATGTAAATTCGGCTAGAAGAAGAGAGACATTTATAACCTTTGTGAGAGTTGGAGTATCCCAGAAAAACACACTCCTGGGATCTGAAATGAAGTTTATGACTGGCACAAGGTCTTAAGAAAGGAAAACAAGCACAACCGAATGTTCTTAAGAATTTATAATCAGGTGATTTGTTGAATAAAACAGTGAAAGGAACATCAAAATTTAATGCAGCAGATGGAAATCTATTGATAAGATAAATTGCAGTAGTAAAAGTAAAATCCCAAAATTGTAGAGGTAAGGAGGCATGATGAAGAAGGGTGAGGCCAATTTCAACAATGTGTCTATGTTTCCTTTCAACCACGCCATTTTGATGATGTGTGTGGGGACAAATCAGTCTATGTTCTATTCCATTTGTGGCAAGAAACGAAGTAAAAGCTTGGTATACCCCTCCCCAATCAGATTGAACACTTTTAATTTTGGTGTTGAATTGAAGTTCAGCCATAGCCTTAAATTGTTGAAAAACAGAGAGAGTTTCAGCTTTTGATTTTAAGGGATATACCCAGGTGTACTTAGAGAATGCATCAATGAAGGCAACATAGTAAATATAACCAGAAAAAGATGTAATGTGAGATGGTCCCCACAAATCAGTGAAAATTAAATCCAAGGGAGCAGAATATACCGTTTGAGACGCAGAAGAAGGAAGTCTATGAGACTTTCCAACATAGCAAGATGAGCAAAATTCAGTAACATATGTATTTGATGGGAGAAGGTTACATTGTGTAAGAACAAGCTTAAGAACATGAGAATTAGGATGACCTAGCCTAGTATGCCACATAGTGGAAGAACTAGATACATCAGAACTTTTATTTAAATTGAGACAATAGACTGAGAGGGTATTTTAGCTAAAGAAGATACCAATGCTGAGGGACTTTGGAGCTTTAGATTTGGAAAAGAATAAAGCCCATCAGCCCCAACAATACCTTGAAGAAGAACCTCATTGGTTTCTTTAGATTTGACAAGGCAATGATTAGCATGAAACTCAAAGAAAACACAATTGTCTTTAGCAAACTTACTAGCACTCAACAAATTTTTGGTGATAAGGGGAACATGAAGAAGATTATTCAGTTGAAATTTAAATTGAGAGTTAATAGGAGAAACAAAAAAGGAAGAACCAGAACCATTGATTTGCAAACCTTGACCATTTCCTATGAAGATTTGGTCTAGTCCATCAAAATGCTCAAGCTGATGAATGTTTTGAGGCTCACCAGTAATATGAAACGAAGCACCAGAATCAGGAATCCATGAAGAGTTAGCACCTGCTTGAGAAGTATTAGCAACCATAGCACTTGGTGTGACATTGGCATGAGCATCCTGGCTGGGCTGTTTCTGATTAGGATTCACCCAAGTGTTGGAGACCTTAAGATTTGAAGAAGGAGTGACCTGCACAGGCTGCAGTGTGGTAGGATCATACAGAACAAGGAATTCTACAAGTTGATAATTAACATCAGCTCTATAGAAACAAACATTGGCAGTATGGCCATACTTGAAGCAATTCTGGCAGTGGAAATTTGCAAATCGACCACCACGGCCTCTGCCCGAACCTTGACCACCGCGACACCCACTATGACCACCATCTCTATCTCTAAAAGATTCACCACTAATACTGCCACGAGAATAGCCCTGAGTGTAATTAATAGAAGGAGAAAAAGATTGCTTACGGAACCGGTTAACTCTTGACTCATGAGCAAGAAGAAGAGCTTCCACTTCAGCAATAGGAGGAGTGACGAACTTGCTTTCAATAACAGAGACCACAGGTGTATATTCTTGAGGCAGACCTTCAAGAACAACATCAACATATTCTTCAAGTGACATAGGACTCCCAACTCCAGCAAGTTGATCAGCAATATTTTTTATTTGAGTCAAAAAGTCACGCATGGATTTACCATCAAGAGTGGTGGAACGCAAATCAGTACGGAGCTGTCGTGCACGAGCTTTAGTTTGAGTATGAAAATACTCATGAACCTTGTCCCACACTTGATAAGAGTGAACGGAGCCAATGACACGTGAGAGAATGGTCTTCGAGAGCATTGATTGCAGCCATGTGAGAAGCATTTGATCTTGGACCTCCCAGGTTTCATATGCTGGATTAACAATATCATAATCACGATCAGCATCGGTCAAATACCGAGGTGGAATTTGCGGATTAACCACAAACCGTTGAAGTTTGTGGGACTTGATGATTGGTTTGATCTGCTGCCTCCAGTGAAGGTAATTCGAATCATCAAGTTTTTCAGCTATGGAGTTGGAGAAAAATTGTGAAAAGGGAGAGAGATTATTTGACGTTGCCATAGAAGAGATGAGGAAGGAAATTTAGGGTTCTGGTACAGGATCAGAAGGCTTTTGATACCATGTTAGATAAAATCAAGGGAGATAAAAATGTAATAGAGAAGCTTCATTATCATTGTTGCTTACAAATGAATACACGGGTTCAGAATATATAGGGAACCCTTCCTAAAATACAGCAGAGAGAGAAAAGTGTGAAAACAGTTGTAAAAAGCAACCAGCAGAGAGAGAAAATCATGAGAGGTGGCTGGACAGATGTCCACTAAAAGATTTTGAAGATATTCAAAAGATATAACAGAATGCAAAAAGTAAATAAAGGCTAACAAACAAATATTCCCTTTTTGTTGTAATTTTATATACACTAACATTTTTAATTTCTTCCCATGTCATATCAAGTCCCTAAGAATTTATCATTTACTGGATGGTGTTGTTGTTGCTTAAACCAGGAGCAATGTATGTGCACTGCAGAAGTGGGAAGTTGTACTGAACATTTGTTACTCAGCTATTGTAGATGGAGGTGATAGGCAAAACAATTTAATCCCAGATGTAGTACAGATACAAATCAATAAACTTATGATTCAACTTTGTGTGTGTGCCACATGGTTGCATTTAAACACCTAAAAGGACAGATTTTTGTGTCCTCCAAGTATTATATGTGAATGGCTGCAATACTTTTGAGGCCAATTATTGGAAGGATTAAAGTTTGTGCATATTCAAATTCAAGCTCGGGCTTAGTTTGTTGATTCTTCTTGCTGAAGTGATTCAACTGATTTTCTTTTCCTCAAGTCATGACTCAGTATTCAAGGAAATTTGACATATCTATTTGGAGTGGAATAAATTGTTTTGCACTCATTTTTTGTTTTGTGCTTTGAATGGTTTAGCTTCCACATTGTTGGTGGCTAAAATGGTTCTTAATAGAGCTCATATATGTTTCTTGGTCTAGCTCATTGAGTTGAGTTAGGTTACATCTCCACATTGCATCTAGATGGCCATTTGATTATGTAAATATGCAAATACTAAAAAACTCATTTGTCCTTCATAATTACCTTTTTTTTTTTGATAAAAGATAGATATATATTGCATCACTACACAAAAAGTGATCCTAACTAGGTTAGCACCACAATCTGTATCAATCATTTACAGCATTTCTAAAGTATTATTAAGAAAATATAAATGAATACAAGAGAAGCGGGAGGGGGGCGCCAAACCCACTTAAGAGAATCTGTAATGCGGCAAACTACACCTATCACGACTGAAACTACTTATACAAATAGGTACATAATTTCACCAATGGTATCTAGTATTTCTAATACAAAAATTTGCTATACTATCAACACATGAATTTCCTTCTCTATACCTGTGAGAGAATTGAAATTTGATCTTTTTGATAAACTCCAAAGTATTATGCCATATGTTTCTCAAAGTCCGAGGTATCAAAGAGTGATCATAAAAACACTTAGAGTGCCAGAAGTGAGTCTGTCTCAAGCTAGAAGGCATTCCATCCTTTTGCAGCTACTATCTCTAGTGCATGTACAATGGCCAGTATTTCTGCTTCAAAAGTAGGATTAACATTCAAAGATTTAGCAAAACATCCAACTAAATCTACATTATAATCTCTATGTATAGCAACACAAGAGGAAAGTCCTGCATGCTCTTCATATGCTCCATCAATATTTCCTTTAGGAGGAGATCCAGTCAACCTGTATGTATGACTTTCTCTGGTTCCCTTGGCCTGCAAGATACAGAGAATGCTTTAAGAATTTTGAATTCAGATATTGTAGATTGCATAATACGTGTTGCAATAGAACCACAATTGTTTACGGCAGAGAAAATCCTATTTTTAATATTTTGATAAGGAAGAAAAGTATTTTCAAACTTGATTTGATTTTTGCTATACCAAATTTTTGTGATGACATAGGTAATAGTAGCAAGCAGTACACTGCTAGCTAGATCACTTCAAGTTTTATTTGATAATATAGATATAATATTTGCAGCTGTGAAAGATTGATTAGTTATCGTGGCTAACCATTTCCATAATTGGCCTGCAAATGGACAAAAGAAAAACAAGTCATCTGCAATTTCATAGGCATTGTAACAGTGTGAACAAATTGAAGTAATTATGACACCCCTTTTTTGTAACACGTCCTCAGTTGGTATTCTTTTATGAATTAATCTCCATACAGTAAAAGTCTTTGAAGGAGGAATGGCTTTGTTCCAAATTGCTTGTTCCCGTTTAACCTTGGAATGTGGCTTTCTAACAAAGGTATAGACATCCTTGTAGGTCATGTTCCCACTGGAAGTGTGTTTCCACCTTGGACAATCTTTTTGATCAACTATAGGAATGTAAATTCCCTTCAAAAGATTACCAATTTGACTTTCTCCCTGCAGGAATTGTCCAATTGTCATTGTATATGAAATCTGATACCCTAGATATAAGTTTTGCAGTCACATCTTTGCTGATGCTAAGAATATCAGCAACTGGATTGGAAACCCAATTATCTAGCCAGAAATTAATTTCTTTGCCATTACCAACTTGCCAGATAGTGTTTTCTTTAACAGTGGAGTAAACATATTTAATAGTTAATACTAGTCCAGACCGATGAAGCAAGGTGAAAAACCAAAGAGCCATAGCTTTTATAAACTCTATCATTCAAGAGAGTAGACCAATCACTCTTATTTCGGAAAATCACAACACAATTTAGTCATATAGGCTTCATTAATATCTACTGTTGATCTAATACTCAGTCCACCTTCTTGATAACTAGAACACAAATTGCTCCAAGCAACTGTATGTGTCTTGGAATTGGAAATATGACCAATCCATATAAAATTTCTAAACCAACTATCCAACATACTAACTAAAGCTTTCAGCCATTCATAGATCTGAAGACTATAGAACAACATGCTCTTAATGACTGATTTTATCAAGAGCACGCATCCCATGTAGGACAACAATGATCCTTTCCATTTAGCTAATTTAATCTTAATACGATCCACACTAGGCTATAGATGTATGTTCCTTGGCTTTCCTTTGAACTTAGGCACACCTAAATAGGTAAAGGGAGTTTGACCTTGCTAAAAGCCCAAGATATTTTTTATCCTCTCAATTCTGTGTCTTGGAAGTTTATTGTTAACATAGAAAGTTGATTTTGCTCTATTAACAAGTTGACCTGAGACAACACCATAATGATTAAGAATTGCCTGTCTGTTTTGATTGTGTGATAAGCAAACCAGTTACACTGTCTTCTTCAATCTTTGTGGAGGTTTTAATTGTCAATGAACTTATGTTCATGCTATACTATCTAATACATTGCTTTATGTCTGGCAGTGGGCTTTGAATACATTGAAGAAACCAATAGTCACTTTTGAATGGTTAAAACAATGCTCAGATGAGCATCGAGTTGTTCCTCAAGAGTCATACAAGGTCCTTCCATTCTCTGGGTTAAAGATCTGTGTTACTGGAATCCCAGCAGGTTGTAACTTAGCTATCTGTTAGTATTGGTCATAATAGAATGCTCCTTTGTTGGATGCTAATTTGCTTAAAATATTTTTTTTCAGATAAGCGTAAAGAGATGGAGAAACTTATTTTACAAAATGGTGGAATATACTCCAGGGAATTGACAAGGAACTGCACGCATTTGATTTCTGAGATATCCTTATGATAGTTCTTATAAATGATGGTGTATCTTTTTGACATGCATATATTTATCTATTATTTGAGTCGGGACACATCTTCATTGTTTTTAGCATATCTTTCGCTAAATCTTCAATGTTACAACATGTGTTTCCTAATTCTACACTAATGACTATCTACTTTTTGATACTGTAACGCTACACATTATTGCTTATTGATAATCAGTTTACAAGACTTACCTAGTACCTATTGAAGAGCATACATTGTTCCAATTATTTCCAGTTTATCGTTCTTATTTAACCATGTCTCCCCTTGTATTGACAAATTTCTATAGACATTTTGGTTTAACATATAAGAACTGAGATTCATTTAGACAAGAATTCAAGTTAATCAGCATTGATGGCTTCATATGTGATAATATTCTGCCTTTTGTTTTTTTATTCTTAATCTGTTAGAATGTATGATTTATTTTTATTTTCTAACAATCTGCAATGAATCTTCAGATTTTTTTCTCTACACTAGCTGGCTAGTTGAATTGTTTTCCAACTGCATTAATGAACCGCTTGATGAGACAAATTCCTGTATATGAAATATTTTTGTGCCATGTTATTCTGTATTTTGCTTGTTTCAGTGTCTGCAATTGCATTATCTTATGGGTTACATGCTCTACTTGCAAACTATGTAAAAGTTTGAAAGATTGTTCTTTTTCTTTTTCTGTGTTTGTGATCCTCTATGCCTGAAAAATTCAGTATTTAAATTCAAGTATCTGTTATTATGGTTTAAACATGGTGGATATTTGTATTCTTGACTGTTCTTACGCTCCTGAAGGTGCCAAATATAAGGTGGCAAAAAAATGGGGCCACATTCCTATTGTGACAAGGAAATGGTTTGATCAATCTATTGCTCGAAGAGGTAACTTCTATGTTTTAATGATGTATGTTGCAATACCTTTCAGGTTTGAACCTAAATAATAGGATACCACACGTTAGAACATAGTGTTATTCTTGTGTTAGTGATCCCTTATAATTTGGGTTTCTGCCTAAATCAAGCCTAAGAGCTAGTTCAAGAGGTGAGGGTTACCCCACTTATATATACTTGTTGAAAATTAGGAAAGAATATCTTTTATTTATAATAGGAAAATATCTTGTACTTAAGGGAAACATAATATTCACTATTCATGCCTATCTCGTGTATTTTTCCTATTTAATAAACTTTAGTTGTGTAGTTGAGGCACAAGGATTCAGCCTATTATATCTCTATTTTTCATCGCCTTCAACATATTCTATTTTGTCATATCACTAGTTAATTTGAGATCTTCAACATGGTCTTATTATGTCTATCTAGAAAATTATTCGGCTTCTCTTTTACTAGTTGTAATACACTTGAACCAGATTTTATTTTGGTCCTTGAGGGATATGTGTGATGTCACAATGGTGCACCTTTTGTCAGTGTCAGTGGTATAAAATTGGTCCTTCAAAGATAATTAATGCCATCAGTTTTATTTTTAAAGTTTAAAGGTAATGTCATTTTAAGGGTAAATTTGATGCTGTGCATATCATTGGAGGACCAATTTGTATGTATTTACAAGTGGAGGACCAATGTGATGTCACTAATATCTTAGGACTAAATGAATATTTATTCTGTCCGTAGGAGTTTATAGTTAGTGTTTGTATCATGATACAATTATTCAGAGCTCCATTGCTTTAATATATTATCTTTTTTCTCCTTTCCAACTCATCTCTAAAATTTCAATACCCCTCAGAATTTCACCTTTAGATTTTATTTACCTGTATTTTGTTTCATGGGTAGCATGTCTGAATGAGGAGTCCTTCCCTGTTCAGCATGGATCTGTATCTTCACATAAAGTAACTAAGGACTCAACAATGCAACATAGCCAAGAAATGGATATTGGGAGATTGCAATCTGCAGCATCCTCAGGTGCTACAGATTCAAATATGCAAGTTCATTGCACTGAGTTTATGGATAGAGATCTAGAAGCTACGCAGCAGTCACAACCCGTGTCCTCAGTTCCAAATGCTCCTTTATTTGTTAAAGAGGCATATGCTGAACCTTCACCGTTGAAGACCAGCAGTGAATTGAACTTTGATGGCGCTGTTGCAAATGATTCTGAATCGGATGATACTGACCTTTACTTATCAAAGTGCAGAGTATTATTGGTTGGTTTTGAAGCTCGTGAAATGCGGAAACTAGTTAATATGGTGCGTAAAGGTGGAGGCTCCCGGTATATGTATTTTAATGACAAATTAACCCACATAGTGATTGGGAATCCTACTGAAATGTAAGTCAAGTCTGATTTTAAAAATAATATTTATGGCTGCCTTTCATGTTTGTATTTCTTGATAGTTTCTTGAATTTATCGTAGATTGTTAGTATCAAACATGAATGTTTTGGAAAACCTTATTCTTTATTCTTCTTTATTTATCTTCACGTGCATTTGTGTTTATCAAGGGAAAAGAAGGATGTGAGGAGTCTTGCTGCTTTAGGTGTAATTTATGTTGTTAAAACTACATGGCTTGAAGATTGTGACCGTGAAAAGAAAGAAGTCCCTGTTCTTAGGAGACACATTGCATATGATCTACTTCATCAAAAAGGTCTGCTATTATTATGTTCATGTTCATGTTTGTAGTCTGTGTCTATTATCTCTTAATCATGTTCAAGCTGGAGAAATCTTTGTAGTTACTCTATTAGATTCACGCTTTAATTTGTTCTTTGATTTCTTAAACTCAGCAAGCTTGGTAAAAGGAGTAATAGGCAGTATGTCTATGGATCATGGTAAAAGCTCCAACTTTCATCAAAGCTTACAGAGTGATCAGGGAGACTTTGAAATTATAAAGCCAGAATCTTTGGAGAAAAGACAAGAAGAGAAAACAGATAAGGGTGTAAATGGTCACTTACTCGGTAAAGCAACAGGCAGAACTATGCTGCAAAATCAATATCCTGACAATAAATCAAGGGCACAAAGGATGACCCAACATGACTCCAGTGTTCAATATGCAAAGTCAACAAATATTTTCAGAGGGAAACTATTTTGTTTCTCAAATTTATTTCCTGAAGAAAGGGTAAGTCCTTAAGATCTTAATAGGTCATTAAAGAGGGATATAATATGATTTTGCCATAGAATTGTGAGTTTAAATGCAAGGGATCAATATTATGATTTATTAGGTTTGCTGAATTGTCTATAGACCACACCTTCAATGCTTTTTTTTTATTTTAATTTATTTATTATTATTTTTTTATGATTAAAATGGTAGATAGGAGATAACATTCTCATGATTACTGGACAAAAAGTAAATGATATATTGAGAATTTTCAAACCTAGTATCACTGTCCACTTAGTTGTTAGTCAAAGTTCAATAGTGTTCGATTTGACCTAGCATTTTACCTGTCGAATTGAGGACCAATAGAGACTCACAAGAAGAATTTCACCTTTGGCCCCCATGATTACCACACATATGATGCTTTATCTATAATCAATCAATAAGGATACAATTAAGGAAACAAATAATAGATGTAATCCATAATTTTCAGCTATACAATATTGACATATTTCCCTATTTACAGAAAGATAAAATCATGTCTTTGACACCTCCCTCAAGCTAGAGCATACATGTCTGAACCAATCATGTTAAAAATTTTGTCAACACAAGAGTCCTTGACAAATTTAGGGAACATGTTTGAACCCAGCTAGTTGATCATTGGAGCTGACAAAATCAATGGTGATATCACTTGAAAGCAAGTTTTCTCTCACAAAGTGATGGTCAATCTCTTTAGTCTGCTTATGGAAGACTAGGTTTTTGATGCAATGTGGAGAGCAACTTGATTGCCACATTTCAGTCTATTATCTTGAGTGTGTCCAAATTTTAGTTTAATAGAGTTGTGTGAGAGAAAGGTAGAGAGAGAGAGAGAGAGCAAAACTAGAGGAGACGAGAGAAAATATATGACAAGAGAATTGTAATTTCATTAACTGATTGAAAAGTAAGTACAATACGGGTATATATAGAGCCAAATTGTATTGGTCTATATTAATAGAAATAAATGTGTATATATATAATTTAGGAGTAAAACTATACTCAATACCCCCCCACAAGCTCAAGTAGGGTGAGGAGACTCAACTACTTGAAGCTTGGACCGAAGATCACAAAACCGAGAAGGAGAGAGAGCTTTAGTTAGGACATCAACACACTGATCAATGGTAGGAACATGTACAACCTGAAGACACTTGGCAGCAACTTTCTCTCGAACAAAGAAAAGATCTAATTCCATAAGTTTAGTGCGAGCATGAAGAACAGGGTTGTGAGCAAGGGCCACAGTGCTCATGTTGTCACAGAAGATGATTGGAGGTGAATGATTCACTCTAAGTTCAGAAAGTAATGTCTGTATCCACATAACTTCAGCAGCAGCAAGAGCAAGACTGCGATACTCTGCTTCTGTACTGGAACGAGCAACAACAATTTTCTTTTTGGACCACCAAGACACAAGGTTTGGTCCAAGAAAAATGGACGCGCTTGAGGTGGAGCGCTTGAGGTGGAGCGCCTGTCATCCGGGTCAGAAGCCTAGTCTGCATCACAGTAGGCTTGAATGGAGAGGGAAGAAGTGAAAGGAGAGGGTTGCAGGCGAAGACCCCAAGATATAGTGCCTTTAAGGTAGCGTAGAATACGTTTGACAGCAATCCAATGCTGTTCAAGAGGCTAAGACATAAATTGACAAACCATGTTTACAGAAAAGCTAATTTCAGGTATGGTTATTGTGGCATACTGTAATGCCCCAACAACAAATTTGTAGAGAGATGCATAAGGAAATTTTTCAGAACCAATTTTGGATAATTTACAGCCACAAACCATTGGGGAAGAAATGGGCTTTGATGCTTCCATGTCCGTGCGATTTAAGAGGTTCCTAATGTATTTGCTTTGAGTTAAGATTAGAGAACCATCTGACTGATTTTTAACTTCAATGCCAAGGAAGTAATCAAGATCACCAAGGTCTTTGAGGGAAAATGCAGAATGAAGACGAGAGACAAGGCTCTGGAGAACAGTTGAGTTGTTTCCTGTAATAATAATGTCATCTACATACACCAAGACGTAGATGATATGATATTATTGTCAACTGAATAGATGAACAAGGATGGATCACATTTGCTGGCCTGAAAGTGGAACTGTAGCAAGGTAGATTTTAGCTTCTCAAACCAGGCACGAGGTGCTTGTTTGAGACCGTAGATAGCTTTGTGAGGTCTACAAACTAGAGTCTTATCAGAAGATTCAAATCCCGTAGGTTGAGTCATATAAACCTCCTCGGCAAGAGTACCATTTAAAAAGGCATTGTTGACATCTAGTTGTTTGAGAGGCCAACGATGAGTCAACGCAAGAGTAAGAATGAGCCTAAAAGTTACAGGTTTGATGACAGGTAAGAAGGTTTCATTATAGTTGTAGCCAAATTGTTGATGAAAGCCTTTGGCTACAAGACGGGCTTTATACTTATGGACAGTGCCATCAGGGTTTTCCTTGACTCGAAAGACCCATTTACAACCTATGGGAGTTCTGTTTGGTGGCAGAGGAACAAGGGACCAGGTGTCATTGTGAAGTAGAGCATTATGTTCTGCTTGCATAGCTGCGAACCAGGTGGAATTAGACAAGGCCTGTCGAGTGGTTTTGGGTTTAGTATGGGTGAGTAAAAGCGTTGGTTGAAGGCGTGGCTTAACAATGTCGTCTTTGGCTCGTGACCATAGGATGAGTGTTGTGAGGATGAATAATAGGTTGTGATTCAGGCGCAAAAGATGACGAGGTAGGAAAAGACAGGGTGTTGGGAGATGGACTGGGAGTGGTGTTTGGAAAATTAGGTGGGGTTACAGGTGTGTAAGACTCAGAAGCCACATTGGATGATGATGTATGAGTGGGAATTGAGGTTGTTTCATGGGGTTGAGTGGATGAAGAGGGGAACGAAGTGATAGTGGGAGGGTTGGTCACTATAAGGGGAACCGCAACAGTATCTTGAGAAGCATGGATTGGGGACGGAGAGAAGAGAGTCTTGTAGGGGAATTTAACTTCATTGAAGATGACGTCTTTAGAGATATAAAGGCGCCTATCAGCAGCAAGACACTTATAGCCTTTGTGAGAGGTAGAATACTCCAAGAAGAGACATTCTTGTGAGCGGAGTTGAAGTTTGTTTCTGTTGTAAGGTCGAAGGTGGGGGAAGCAAGAACAACCAAAGACTTTAAGAAAGTGACAGTCAGGAATTTTGTTGAAAAGTTTTTTATAAGGAACTTCGTTTTGAATGGAGGAGGATGGGAGCCGGTTGATTAGGTAAACACTAGTAAGAAAGGCATAGTCCCAGAATTGCATGGGTAGATTAGCTTCAGCCAGTATGGTGAGGCTGAGTTCAACAATGTGTCTATGTTTGCGTTCAACCACACCATTTTAATGGTGTGTATGTGGGCATGAGACGATGTTGAATCCCAACATCGTTGAGATATGCAGTAAATGGGCGATACTTTCCTCCCCAATCAGTTTGTAGGGCTTTAATGGGAAGTTGAAATTGATTTTTAACCATGTTATGAAATTGTTGGAAGATACCAATAGTTTGTGCCTTATTTTTGAGGAGATAAATCCATGTAAAGCGCGTGTATGCATCAACAAAGGTAATATAATACTGAAACCCACACGTAGAGGTGAAGGAGGCAGGGCCCCATAGATTGCTGAATATTAGTTCAAAGGGGGCAGTGTAGACAGATGAGGAAGGGCCAAAATGTAATCTATGAGATTTACCAAGACAACTTGAATCACAAAATACTGGTGTAGTATTATTTACGGGTTGAATGTTGCAGTTTCGAAAAACTAGTTTCATTACATTAGTATTGGGGTGACCTAATCTGGAGTGCCAAGTGGCAAAAGAAACAGAACCCTTGGTGGTGGAATGAGCAGAGCGCTGATGAACAGTGGCAGGGGTCTGGACCGATTGCAACTTGGTGTTGGAGAGCAAGGCTGGAAACTGGTATAAGCCATCAGGACCAACCGTGCCATGAAGCAGGACTTCTCTAGTAGCCTGTGATTTGACCAAGCAAACTGAAGGGTGAAACTCAAAGAATACAGAGTTATCTTTGGAAAACTGACTGACACTAATTAGATTTTTGGTAATGGAGGGGACAAAAAGTAGGTTGTTTAGAGCAAAACGAAACTGGGAATTAATCGGAGAGGGAAACATAGTGACACCTGCGGAATTTATGTGAAGACCTTGTCCATTCCCAACATGAATTTGATCCGGTCCTTCAAAGGGGGTGAACTGCTGAATGTTTTGTGACACATTGGTGACATGGTTGGACGCACCAGAATCTGGGTACCAGGTACTGTTTCCTGTGGAAGAAGATGAGGCGAGCATGGCCTGGGGTTGAACAGGTGTAGAGGTAAAGTGGATTTGTGAGGGTGGTTGGGGTCTGGGTCCAAGAATACCAGATAGGTGTGGTGAAGAATGAGTGGATTGAGAGGATTGCGGAATGTAGTTAGCTGGAGCAGATTGGGTGTTATACCAAGGGCCAGAATTGGCAGTGATGAATTGTAGAGCTTCTAGCGGAGAGGAAGGAACATAGGTCTCATCAAACCTGTAGTAGCATGAGGAAGTGACGTGCCCATAACGATGACAAACCTGGCATTGAAAGCCAGCGTATCTGCCGCGTCCGCGGCCACCACGATTTGGGAAGCGACCACCCCTAGAGTTGGTGCGTCCCCCACAGCGGTGAGCAAACTGAGGGCGAAGGTCTTGATGAGTGAGGTTGGCTTGTGGGTGCGGTATAGGAGGGTTGGGTTCAAATAAAGGTGTAGTCACATTAAGAGATGCAGCGACTTTCTTCTTGAATTTCTCAAGACGGGATTCATGGCCTAGAAGCAAGGTTTCGACTTCTATGGATAGTAAGTCAAAGCGGCTTCTGATGAGCGACACAGTGGACTCATACTCCTCAGGCAGACCTTCAAGAATGATATCAAGATGTTCTTTCACAGAAACAGAGTCACCAATGGCAGTCAGGGCGTCCACGAGGGTTTGAATTCGAAGAACATAATTTGAAATGGTCTGATTTTCAAGATTGGTATCGCGCAGTTCGGTGCGGAGTTGGCGAGCTTTGGCGTTCATGTGAGAGTGAAAGTATGAATGTATTTTATCCCAGAGTTGAAAGGAAGTCTTGCAGCCTATGACGCGAGTTAGCATGTCTTTAGACATGGAGGATTGTAACCAAGACAGTAGAAGTTGATCTTGTTTTTCCCAGGCAAGGTATGATTTAGAAATTAGTCCAGCATCACGATCTGGGAGCATAAGGTACTTTAGTGGAATTTGTGGGTTGACAAGAAAGTGGTGGAGGCGGTGCCCTTTGATTACGGGTTCAACTTGCTGGCACCAAAGAAGGTAATTCTTGGTGTCAAGTTTCTCCGATATGGTATGGAGAAGGTGAGAGACGGGTGAGAGGGGGTGGGAGGGTTCTTGGATGCAACAGTATTGATGGGTGTGGCATTGATGGGTGGCGGAGGCGGTGGTGGCAGAGAAGAATTTGTCGGTGGGTTAGAATCAGCCATGACCGGAATTGTCCAAGATGATTGTGAGCGAAAGAAGAAGAAGAAAAAGGGGAAAGGATCGACGAGCTCTATGATACCATAATAGAGTTGTGAGAGAGAAAGGTAGAGAGAGAGAGAGAGAGAGAGAGAGAGAGAGAGAGAGCAAAACCAGAGGACACGAGAGAAAATATATGACAAGAGAATTGTAATTTCATTAACTGACTGAAAAGTAAGTACAATACAGGTATATATAGAGCCAATTTGTATTGGTCTATATTAATAGAAATAAATGTGTATATATATATTTTAGGAGTAAAACTATACTCCAATATAGTTGTTGGAGAAGTTGCCCAAGCCATGCAATTGATGCCATAGCATGGTATTCAACTTCAGTACTAGATCTAGTAATTGTGTTGTGCTTCTTGTTCCTATCAAATTCCTTCCAATAAGAACACAACACCTCGAAGTGGTCCCTCTTATTGAATGGTAATCTTGCCCAATCAACATGAGAGTAACAAGCAACTTTAGCATTGTCTTTGTTTTAATGTAGTAATCCACAACATGGTGCAATCTTAATATATTGAAGAATGTGTATTACAACATCTAAGTAACTATCAAGGGGCATTTGGAATCTGACTCACCATGTGACAATGAAGTAATTAAGTCTGCCCATGAGATGATGATATCTTCCTGGGTTTTTCAAGGCTTTCCTTGACCCAAAAGAAGCCACACATTAGGATTAAAGGAGTACCACTCCGGCGATAATCAAGCATATTGGTCTTGGTCAAAATGTTCAAAGCATACTTTTGTTTGGAAATGACAATACCAAATGAGGATTAGGCAACTTCAATTTGCAATAAGTATTTGAGTTGACCCAAGTCTTTTGTTTGAAATTGACATTGGGGATGGGTTTTGAGTTTGTGGATATCGTCTGAGGCATCGCCAATGGTGAGTCAACATAAACAACTAGGTAAATACATAAGCTAGACAGAGAGTGGAGGAAAAATAGTGAGTGACCAACCTCAAAACAAGTCATATCAAATTGAATCAAGGCAGAGCTAAAGTGGCCAAACTAAGCACAAGGTGACTGCTTCAAACCATAAAGAGAGCAACAAAGCTGACAAATATGGCAAGAGTCACCTAAAACTGTGAATCTTGGTGGCTAATATATATAAATCTCTTCTTGCAACTCACGATGCTAGAAGACAATTTTGATCTCCAATCGGTGAAAAGGCCAATGACAGATGGTTGCCATAGCTAGAAAAAGATGAAAGTGATTTTGACCATGGGAGATAAGGTATCCCATAGTTGAGACCAAAAAATTGAATGTATCCTTTAGGCACCAAGTGAGCCTTAAAGCGATCAATGTTGCCATTTGGGCTGATCTTCATCATAGAAACCGAAGGGCAACCCACAATTGTCTTGTCAAGAAGTAAGGGGACAAATTTTGAAGTGTTGATGGCATGTACAATGGTCATCTCTTCTAACATCTATTGTTGCCATTTGGGATCAACCATGGCTTCACTTATAATAGGCTTGGTAATAGATATCAAATCCAGTGAAGAGATAAAAGAAATGAGCGGAGATAGATGACCATAATTATGACAAAAAACATATAAGGGGTTAGGATTGTGAGAGGAGCAAATACCTTTTCGAAGAACAATGGAAAGGTTATGTGCAAGCTACATTGGCAGACGGGTGGTTGGAGTAGGATATGATGTTGGAGGAGGATCAGTCGATGGGACTGTTGGTGAATGTTATGTCTTTTTATGGTATTTGAGTAGTGCTGGTGGAGCAGAAGCAACTTTTGGAGTTGGAACAATAGGCAAAATATCTAGGGGACCATCTACAATGGTGGAACAAAAGAAAAAAAGAGGTGGTCTCGATGCAAGTAACTTCAGTAGAGACAAGATACCGTTAAAGCTAAGGTCAAAAGCAACAATAGCCTTTTTGAAGGTGACAAACTTTACCTGGATTGAGATCACGGACAAAACACAAACAACTAAAGACATGAAGAGAGAGAGACTTGAAAAACTTGGTGGAAAGTTTTTCTTTACCTGGAGTGAGATCATGGACAAAACACGTACAACTAAAGACTTAAAGAGAGACAACATATAGAGGCTGTTGAAGGTATAAGATGGAGAGAGGAGCCTAATGTCAAATCATCTTCAAAATTATTTCAAATAGAAAAATCATTGGCATATTGCATGTTCAAGATTTATACAAGTTTTTAAATAGAAAAAATGCCAAAAACTTATTCTAGCAAAATTTGGAACTTAACTCTCTTTTTTTATAATAGTCGTTTAAGGTTGTTTATACAAACTAAAAAATGTAATAGATTTTCTTATTTTCTATAGAATAATTTTGATGTTTCCTATCATACCCTCTTTCATTTTTGCTTCATAATAAATGCACATTAGTTGTCATGTGTAAATAAGTAAGGAGAGATGTAAGGGTATAATTGATAACATAGTAATTAATGTTGTCTTAAAATTTGAAAATGACAAGTAAATAAAAACAAAATTTTACTAAAAATCCAATAGATAAAAAGGAATGGAGGGAGTATTTGAGATGTCATATAAAAATCATTCATGTGCTTTCACATCACAACTTAAGCTTTTGGGATAGTTATTTCATTACATGATATCAATCTTAGGAGGGTTTATTACCAAAATAGTTTTGAGATCAATCCTTACTATCCATATGTGTTAAGCCCAAATGGTTTTTGTGTAAAGAGATGTGAGAGATGTAATAAAAATCACTATTTGTGTTCCTTCACTTAACTTAAGTTTTTGGGATAGTTTGTTCATGAATATTAGAAAAGCAAATGTAAGATTTCAATTAACCAAATAAGCTCTCTGTCAATTCAATAGGTTGGCATAGTAGTTAGACACTCTACACTTGCATGTTGTGGGGATGACCTATTTAGCAAGGAATCTTGTGCTCAATTCTCGCCATGTGTGAAACCTTTTGGGCCAGTGACAATCACAGTATTATAAGGAGATTAATCTCTAACTCGGTGGGCTAGGGATACTTGCGACAAGACCAAAAACAAATTCTCAGTTCTTGATATGTATCATTTAGAAGTAAGTTTATTTTTCTGCAAACCTCAAGCCTTAGTTGAGGTTACTTAAGGTCGTGTCAAGTAATTAGTTATCAATTTGAGTTTAATGATGTACCACTATTCTGTGTTAGTTGTTAATTAGTCATCATAGATTGACATAAACCAATTATCCAAAAACTTAAGTTGATTGGTGAAGGCACTTGACTGGTTGTATATTAAACATGCTCCTTCATGAATCCTTAGGTCTTGTAACTAGTGCTAAAATTTAACCTTTTAGATTTCATGGTCAGAGGTCTAGTACCATGGCATAAGCTATACCAAAAGCTTAAGTTGTTGGGTGAGACAGAGTTTTATTTCTAACACTGGTGATTTATTAGAAGTTTTGTAGACAATTGTAAATAAATTACTAAAATTGTTGATACCATACCTACCTATTTCAATCATAATCTTGTAGTGCTTGACCTTCATTTTTTTCAAATGCCTCATACCAGAATCATCTATTTCATTTGGTGTAGCTATTTAGTGTGTTGTATGCTATTTTTTTTCTCCAGTTTCTAAAATTAACACTTTCTATATGTAAACATATATGTTCTGTTTTACCAAAAATATGCACATATTTGTTCTTTGATGTAGTTTAATTTTACTTTTGATCTCTTTTGTTAGAGAGCTGAGATTGTTCAATGGATAAGTCAAGGGGGAGGAGAGATAATAAGTGGGCAAACAAAACACTCTGTCCACTATACTATTGAGTGTCATGGTGTAACACCCATGTTGACTGGTCATTCCAAGAGTTTACATATTTCTAGTCATTGGATACGATCTTGTTTGGAGGTAAGCCTTATTACTATTAGACACAAATGTAGATTTCCCTTTTCAGCTTTATATTTCAATATTTTTATCTTCTGCATTTTTCTGGTGTTCGTTTGTCTATAAATCTTGATTTATATATTGAATAAATAGGATGGGTTGATGGGGTAAAGCAAAACTTGTCTTGGCCCAACTGTTCGAAGTTAGTATCTCATGAATGCTATTAAAAAAAATAAAATAATGATGGAAAGTAATGAAAGTTGGATCTATTTATACATGGCTGCAAGAACTTAATACTTGGATCCTATGTAATGCACGTATTCTATTCCTTATGTTTATTTAATTTAAATCCAAAATTCTGGTTACACATCTTCTTGTCTATTCTCCAGTATCATTAATGTACAAGTGGTTTTTTAGTATGGAGACTTTCCATGCTTTAGATAAGGGCACTATCTCCTTAATCTAAGAGTATGTTTGGATACAATCTAAGAAGGGTTTTTGACAACTTTTTTATTAGAAAATACTCTTTATTTTCAGTAGAGAAGTTCTAAAAAATACTTCTATCTTGTATCTGAACAGATTCTAAATGTTTTTTGCATAAGAAAAAGGAAATTAAAACATTCTAATAATGCATTATACTTTCTTAATAGTAATCCTAGTAAATGATCCTCCATTGTGCATCAATAAAACGCTTTTGATGCTTATTGGCTAACAATGAATACTGTTTGTCTTTTGTCGTCATGGTATATAATCAGTGTATTCATGAAAATTACATTACTGTTGTGAGCTGAATTCATGAATGTAGCCAAGTAGCATAATCCTTTTTCATGCAGTTGTTCTGCTGATTGTCTCTATTCTTCAGGATGATTGTCAAGACACTGAATATTCCAAAAGCTTAAGTTTGTAGGAGAAAGCTCTGGCACAATTTTTGTTAATGACAGATAATGGTAAAAAAAAATAATGTGGCCATGTTTATAAAGTAGTAGTAGTAGTAGTGTAGTAATAATAATAATAATAATAATAATAAAAATTACACTTTATCCCCTTGCAGTTTCACACTTTGGTTCAGTTTGGATTTTGGATTATCTTTTAACTTGTGAGAAGTTTTCAGTTAAGTATTTAATTCCTAACTTATAAAAGGCCCTTGAAAGGAGAAGTTAGATGGGGGAGCTTCTAAATAAGTTGAGGTGCATAATTTGATTGAGGCTTATTAACTGCGTTTTTAACTGTGGTTTTAACATTTTTTTTTTCACTTTAACCTAAACTTTAGGGGGGTTATGAGATTGAAAAATTATAGGGGTTAAAAGTTGGGAAAGTGTAAAACTCTACAAAGAGATAAAGTGTAATTTACTTTATTGATAAAAACAATAATAATACAGTCACGATGATTCCTTCTGTTAAAAGCTGTATTCTTTGATATCATATGTTGGTTTACATACTTATACTGTGATTATGGTGTTTTTGTTCAAGGTTGAATCCTTGCTGGATGTTGACAGTCACATTCTTTATTCTCCACTTCCCTGCCGTGTTCCCTTGCCTGGGTTTGAAAGCTTCTGGTTTTGTGTTTCACAGTATGAGGAGAAAGACAGAATTCTCCTAAGGAACTTGTGTTTTGTTTTGGGTGCTAAATTTGTGGAGAAGTTGACTAAGAAGGTCACCCATTTGTTGTGTAAATTCACCAATGGGCTCAAGTACGAGGCTGCTTGTAAATGGGGCATCCAATCAGTTACATCGGAATGGATATTTGAATGCGTCAAACAGGTAATATATTTATGGTGACTGCGTACATTGCAGTGAGAACTTCAACGTATGTTTATGCATATACACTTTGTTATGCATGCATATCTACATGCATTTTATATGTTATGTACTTTTTGACCAAGAAAAGGTCTATCAATATGCAACTTTTTTTGTTTTTTTTCCTTTCCAGAATGGAGTTGTTGCTATTGATCAATTTTTACCAAAAGAAGTCACTGCTCAAGACCGAGAGGCAGGAATTTGCACTGTAAGTCAATTTCCTACCCAGGCTTTTGATGTGACGAGTGACATGCCCTCTCAGTTGTCAAGTCAATCACAAACTTTAAGAAGCACCGCAGATAAAAATGTCAGCTGTGGAATTGATAATCATGAGACCAATTTTAAGATACCAAGTATTTATAGCAGCAAAAAGGCAAGGCTTATGGAGGAACCTTGCCTATCCAATAAGATGCCTTTGGCATCAAATTCAGGTATTCATCCCTCTGACAAATTGTTTTCCAAAGACAATATGGTTATAGATGATGGGGAGGTTTGTCATGCTGTTCCTGATGTTGCTGCTGCAATTGAGGACTTGTTAGAGCAGACAAGCAAGGTAAAAGTGCTGATTTATGGTATGTTGATATATATATATATATATATATATATATATATGTTTTGCTCCACTATGTCTGAATTATTCATGCTCTACTTTCTCTTTTTCTTCTCTCAAAGATGCATGATCAGAGGTCCCCAGCGCAGACAGGGTGTGAGAGAAGTGTATCCTTAAGTGTGATCATTTTCATCGAGGTTGTGTTTTGTTTTATAATTTTCTCAATTTGTTTTGTGAGTAGTAGTGATCCTTGATGATAGAATAGATTTACCCATCTGATCGTTCTGTCCTTGGTGAAGATAATTCCAATCCTCGTACTGTCTTTGGATTATCTAAACACTGGTTGAACAGGTTAGCTCTCTTTTGTTCCCTGTTTAAAATTAATCATATTGTTGTCATCTTGCCACATAATCTTCCTTTGTCAAAATTAGACTGTTTTATATTAATGACCTTTAACATAGTGTTTGGTTAGAGGGAAATGGGGGGGAGGGAAGAGATTTTTAAAATCTTTTCTTGTTTGATTCAATTTTTAGGAGGGGAGAGGAGCGAAATTCCTTTTAATCTAATTTTAGCTCATCTCCAATATTGGGGAGATTTGGAGGGGAGGTGAAATATTTTAAAACATTTTTAGTATATATCAAAAATATCTTTATTTATGTTATTAAATTTAAAATTATAAGAATACAAAAGTAAATTGATTTTTAAAATTCCTCACCTCGTATGAACCAAATAAGAAAAAACTACCTCCTCTCCTCTCAACCAAACAAAATTTTTAAGTCCTCTCCTCCCTTCCTTTCTCCTTCCCTCCCCTCCTTTGAACCAAATGGGCCTTAAAAGATCTGTTTGATCTGCTTATTAGTGATTTAGTTCAGCATTTCATGAATTCAACATGTGCAGAACTTTTTGCCTTTATAGTTCAAAATAAATTGTGTGCAATACCCAAACCTGATGTTTATAATATTTTCATTACTCAATTATAACTAATGGATAAATAATTATCTGATTACTTATTTCAATTTGACAAATTAATTGAAGTAGTCATATTCGTTTTGTTCAGATTGGTTCATAAATATTTTATCTTTTTTTATTGGCCAGGATAGGTTGGGCGCAAATATCTTGTTCCTGCATATCTAACATATTTTAGCTTCTCGTTGAGTTTGACTTTAATACAATTTGAATTCGAAACCAGTTGAGCCCTGTCCTGTCAAATTGATCTAACTCAATTCTTAGCTAGCCCAACAAAAGACTTGCCAATATATTTATTTATCCTATTACTTGTTTTTATTTATTTATTTGTAAACTTAAAAAACAGAAAAATTTACTCCACTTAAAATTTATCCCTATAATCTATCTCAATCTCCAAGTTACCCCTTAAAAGATTTAAATCATAATTCTATTAAAATTGAAACTTGAATTTAATAGATGGGGGTAAATTTCACCAATTGGAAAGTTGATGGTGTAAATTACTATATTTTATAACTGATTTGAGTAGTACTACGATGAATGTCTATGGGGATGAATTCCATCAACCAAAACCTTGCATACATAAAGTTAAATAGGATTGACAACTAGCTTGTTGCTCCACTGGCACAAGCCAAGTCTTTTAATTTTGAGACTTGGGCCTGATTGAATTGACACCAATGACATACAATTTTGTGAGAAGGAGAAATCAAGAGACATAATTGAATTTGTGTTTTGATTACACAGCAAAGTGTATCATTATATACTATTGGTAATAAATAAATAAAAGAATAATTACAACTATACTAGTTGCCTGATTAGTGACTACCATAATTAAGTAGGTCCTAGAATAGGCCCAAGACAAAAAACCCAAGATACATTGTCTCTACATATGTAACACTCCTCAACCTGGAACATGTTGGCCATATGCACTGAACTTGTTACTTACATAATTCATTTGAGAACCCTTAGAGAGTTGGTGAAGGCATCTTTCAATTTATTATTAGAATTGACAAAAATAGTGATGTCACTAGATAAAATCTTTTCTCTAATGAAGTGGTAATTAGCCTCAATGTTCTTAGTACCACAACTCAAGTATGATGTTTGTCTTCATACAAGAGACCTTTCCTTGGAGCTCCTTTGATATATTTTAGAATAAGAATGACTGCATTGAGTGCATTCCTATGTTTTTTACAATGCAAAGGAGATATTTGATTGGGTGATAGTGAGATATTCAACATCTATATTTTAGAATAAGAATGACTGCATTCCTATGTTTTTTACAATGCAAAGGAGATATTTGATTGGGTGATAGTGAGATATTAAACATCCCCACTAATTGTTTATATCTCTATAGATCTAACAATGACTTCCTTTGGGAAATGGCAATTTCAGACGAGGATTGAGCAACCAACCTTAATGCCCAATAAATGTTTAAGTGGTTCCAAGTCTTTTATTTGAAATTGTTTGTGTAGATGACTATATCGTCATCATAGTTGTCACCGGTAATGACTATATTGTCAACATAACAAGACAAATATACAAGCCAAATGAAGAACGAAGAGAAAACACAAAATAATCAACCTCATAATTAGTTATAACAAATTGAAACAAGGTGAAACTAAAATGACCAAACCAAGCATGGGGGGATTGCTTTAGACCATATCGAGAGCGATAAAGACGACAAACAAGTTAAGGGTTACTAGAAGAGATAAAACATGGAGGTTGACTCATATCACCATGTAAGAAGAAATTTTTTTTATGTTCGGTTGGTGAAGAGGCCAACAAAGAATAGCAACCATATCAAGAAACAAACGAAATAAAGTGATTTTGGCCATAGGGGAAAAGGTGTTCCTATAATTAAGACGAAAAATCGGAGTGTAACCCTTAGCTACTAAGCAAGCTTTGAGCTGATCAATTTGTTCATATGGCACAACCTTCACTGTGTACGCCCGGCAACAACCAATTGTAGTCTTATTCAAAGGCAAGGGAACAAGTTCCCAAGTATCACTAGCTTCTAAAGAAGCCATTTCTTCAAGCATCGTCTGATGCCAATGGGGATTAGCCATGGTTTCACTTGTAGACTAAGGGATAGACACAATTCAAGGAGGAAATAAAAGAGAAGTAGGAAGGGAATAAACTATCATAATGAAGAGTACAAGAATATAACGGGTTAGGGTTGTGAGAGGACCAAATACCTTTACGTAGTAGGGCAATAAGAAGTTCAGGTGGAGGTGGTGATGATGGAGATTGATATTTTCTTTGTTCAAGAACAAGTGTTCTTAACAAGTCAGTTATTGTTTCTTATGTTCTTGCTCAAGCTCAGGTGGTTGACATTCTCTCTAAGCCTCTTCCTAAGGCACAATTTTGTTCTTTCATAGACAAGCTCAAGGTTTTAAGTTCCTCACAAACTCAAGTTTGTAGGGAGAGTAATAGTGTTCTCCTTTGTATCTATAAGTTATGTGACTATCTACCACATCAAAGCATAGTTATGTTATTAATTAGTCTTAAAATGTGGGTTATGGGCTTAACTCAATCTTACAAAACCAACTTGTAAGGTGAAAGTTGTCTTCTACTTATATATTATTTAATTGCCTTATTTCTAGTTGATGTAAGACTTAAGTTTTTCTCAATACAGGTCCTTCACATTCAGTTCTATTGAGTTTGGTACATGAATAAATGATATGTGACTCTTTTTTAACGATCTAGGATACGCAAAACTTGAATTTTTTCCAATATACCCTCTCACAGGCAACACTATTGGGCTTGGTGTGTGTATCAATGGTGGGTGGCCCTTTTAGAGTGAATCTATGATAACTTTGATACCATCTTAAAATATGAGTTATGGACCTAACTCAATCCTACAAAAGTGGGTTGTAAGGTGAGAGTTGTTCCTTGTTTATATACTTTTTAATTATCTTATCTTTAGTCAATATGAGACACGGATTTTTCCCAATAATTAGGATATTTGTAAGATGATTGTCTTATGCCTCATCTCATCAACATTGTAAGTTAGTTGCTCGTGTGTTCTTTCTTTCTCTATAACTAAATAATCTGATCTCTTCTCTTGAAGAGTTCAGAATATCAATAACAAATACAAAGCTTCATATCTTTTGTTTTCTGTAATTCTACATTTGTATATATACTTAACCTAGTAGTATAAAGAGAGTCGCTACATATTGTAACATCCAATTACAGTTTACTCATGTATTTCTATCTCTGTACCTTCTCTTTCTCTCTCTCCCTCTCTCTCTATACACAGCATTTTTTACCTTACTCTAAATCAGTACTGTGCTTATATTCTTTTAGAAGTGGCAGAGATGATAACGGGGAGGGCTCTGAAGAAAGAAGAGCAGGAATATATTATGGTTTTAGTGAAACACAGACAGAATCTCAGGTTATCCTTTGGATATTAGCAACCTTTTAATGTTCAATTTTTCCAATTACTTTGTCTTGATTGTGACTTCTGTTTTGTTTATCATTTATTATTAGATACCTATCTCTCCCTGGAACAATAATTAGTTACCTTTGAACTGGCTGTTGATTAATGACCACTTTATAAGTATACTTGGTGAATGTCATTTACTTTTGTCATAATGCAGGTTGTTGGTTATGAAGAAGATTTATCAGGAAGGCAAATGCTTATTGACAGAGTCCGAACTCGAAGTAGCATGCCACAGTGAACAGGAACTAGAATCTGTCTAGTCATGATCTCAACAAAAATGAATATAGATTAGAGAAAGAAAACTCAACCTTGATCAGATAATGAAGGGTCAGTATAGGTCAATATCATTTATATTTGTACCTTCGTGTTTGAACATGTTGAGTTGGATTTTGAGGAATAGCAGCCTTAATTCCTGAATCATGATGTAATCATTTTTTTTGTAATCTAAAATTATGAAATAAGAAACAGCCAAGTAAGAAAAATGTAGTCTTACTATTTTAGTGGGATAACGATGTGCAAGTTGTGTAAATGAGTAATTTCTGTTGGCATGTCTGTTCTGACCGGATATGGATAAGCAGAATGCTTTTCACGAATCTGAAATCACATTGTCGTATTTCATTTGTATACTATTTCATGTTTAATACTAATTAAATTTAACAAATTATGATTTATTAATATATAAAACATAAAGAATCTCAACTGATATTTTGACATAAAATAATTAATATTTATGGTGAGGGTTTTTATTCTATATTATTTCATAAATAATTTAGTTTGAAACCTGAAATTTTTTGGACTAAATTTGACAATATTACTAAATTAGGAATTAAATACAAATATAAAAAAAATGCGCATGAAGTTTTATTTTAAAAAGGACAATTTAATTAACAAGAATAAGTTTACATAATCCAGAATTACTAAATTTTAATTTATAATTCTCAAAATTAAAAGATAAATACTTATATTTCATTGCTTTTCTTATGAATATTAATAGTTATTAACATATCAATAAAAAATTTATAAAAGAGCATAATAGAATATCTACATTTTTTAAAGAAAAACAATTCACAATCTCCCCTAAAGCATTTTATTTTATTTCATTTTTGTTATAAAAGAAAGTAAAATAGAGAGAACAAAGAAGACAATATGAGATGGAGAATAGAATCTGACTTGTATATTATCTTTGGGAAGGAATAACTTATTTATAAGTACATGTGGTAACTAAACAATTATACAATAAAGGGATAACAAAAATATAAATGGTAATGATTGATAATGAATATTGACATCCATTAATTAAGTTACTAATTATTATTCATAACACTCCTTCTTGGATGTCCAATATTTAGAATGTGTCTCGTTAAAACCTTACTAGGAAGAACTCTGTGGGATAAAAACCTAGTGAAGGAAAAAGAGTACATCATTCATAAACTCTCCCTCATGCATATAATCTTTAAGACGACGGAGTCCAATCTTGTGTATCAACTGTTCAAAAACTTTTCTTGGAAATGACTTTTTAAAGAGATCTGCTAGGTTGTCACTTGAGCAGACTTGTTGAACATTTATATCACCATTCCGTTGAAGATCATGGGAGTGCACAATGGATGTGATTTGTCCATATAAAACCTTTTAAGCACCTTTGTTATATAAGCTTCTTGATGCAAAAGAATTCCATTTTCTAAGTATTCAACTTGCAGTCCTAGACAAAACTTTGTCCTTCCTAGATTCTTCATTTCAAATTCTTTTTTTAAGCAATCTATTGCTTTTGAAAGTTCTTTAGGAGTTCCAATAATGTTTATGTCATCTATATAAACTACAATTATGGCAAATCCATTTTCATATTTTTTTATAAATATACACATTGGATCATTTTTATATCCTTCTTGTAACAAGTATTCACTTAGTCGATTATACCACATACGACCTGATTGCTTTAGCCCATATAGGGACTTATTCAATTTGATCGAATAATCTTCTTTAGAAATTGCATCGTCAGACAAATTAAATCCTTCTAGGAGTTTCATATAAATGTCAGCATCAAGAGAGCCATATAAATATGCTGTAACTACATCCATTAGATGTAAATTAAGTTTTTCATGTACAACCAAACTAATTAAATATCGAAAAGTGTTTGAATCCACTACAGGTGAATATGTCTCTTCAAAATCAATATTGAGTCTTTGTGAAAAATCTTGAGCAACTAGTCTTGCTTTGTATCTCACAATTTCACCATTTTCATTTCGTTTTTGCACAAAAACCCATTTGTATCTAATTGGTTTTACACTTTTTGGTGTACGTAGTACTGGTCCAAAAACTTTTCGTTTAGCAAACGAGTCTAATTCTGCCTCAATTGCATCTTTTCATTTTGGTCAATCATTTCTTTGTCGAAAATCATTGATGGACTTTAGTTCTTGATCCTCAATATCATTTATTTCTTTTAGCGCTATATTATATGCAAACACATCATCAATATTGACATTGTTTCGATTCTGTCGTATTCCATTCATGACATAATTTATTGAGATCTCTTCATTTTCAATAATTTCGGGTACCTGAGTTTCTTCTGGAACTGGAATATGAGTTATGTCAAAGGAATCTTTTTGAGTTTTTACATCCTCAATTTGGTCATTTTGCTCTTTAGCTCCCTTTTTTATTCGATGATTCTTATCCTTGGAACCAATTGGTCTACCACGCTTCAGGCGTATTTGTGACTCGTTTGTAGTATTAAATTGTCTAACAGGGACTTCGATTCTTATTAGAGCATTAGTCGCTAGTACATATGACTTAGTCACCCCTTTTTGGATTTGTGAATACATTTAGTAATTGATTGACTAGATTTTGCAAATGAATTATCTTTTGAACTTCTAGTTCACATTATTTTGTACGAGGATCAAAATGAGACAATGATAATTCATTCCAACTAATATCTTTTTCTAGCTATTTGTGTTCTCCCCCTAATGTTGGAAAAATCAACTCATTAAAAGAATGAGATGTGAATTCACCAGCATTATCCAAACGAATTTTCTTAATTGGATAGTTAGGAAAATGAGCTCTTATTCTAATTAGTTGAGCTAATAATCTCGCAAACGCCTGGTTGCGAATTGATAATAAACAAACATGTGACCATCTTGTTGATGCATAAATTAAAATCATAAAATATCTAAATGGTCCACACGGGAGTGTATTGGTACACAAATATCACCTTGTATCCGTTCTAAAAATAAGATAGATTCATCCCCAAATTTTGCTGGTAATGATCTGATTATTAACTTCCCTTGGGAACAAACAGTACATGAGAAAATATTTGATTGAAGAATCTCCTGGTCCTTCAATAAATGTCCACATGAATTTTCAATTATTTTTCGCATCATGATAGTCTTAGGGTGAGCCAATCGGTCATGCCAAACCTCAAATTTATTTTTGATTTGTAAACTTCTGGTTTACAATAGTATATGTTTCAACTGTATTAATATACATGCAATACAATCCATAGGAAAAAACAAATAATTTTTTTCAATACTTCTTTTTTATTCAAGTGGAGTTTCGTGATATAAATATATTCTACATTTCCTTCATTGTTTGTTTCAATATGAAACTCATTTAAACGAATATCCTTGAAACTCAATAAGTTTCTGTAAGACAGAAAAATATAATGCATTTTTAATATGCAACTTCGTTTCTTTCAGTAATAATATATTAGCTCTTCTGGAGCCTTCAATTATATTTGTAATATCATATAACATTAATTTTTTCGCATTATTGAATATGAGAAGACAAAAATTAATACATTAGAACATTCACTTCAGGGAATGAAATAATGCTAGTTAAAATGGTCTCTTGCATAAAAAAATCTCAATATTTTGTTTTAGTCTTCAAGAGACAATAAACCAACTAAGGATATTTCTTAATCCTTTTTTTATATAAAAAAAATATTGCTACTTCTCGAGCAAAATAGATGTATGAAAAATATAATATACTTTTCAAATTGAGAAATCATTATAAAAATGACACTGACAAAATTATTCCACTTCCGGTGGAGACCTCATTTATATCAAAGGATCAAACACAATGTAATATATCTATATCAAATTATTTTTTTTCACTTCTGCTGAAATTTGTTTTATTTTTCACTTTTCATATTATTTTCTCACTTCTAGTGAAAAATTTATTCTTTCATTTTCATTTTTTTCATCATTTTCTCACTTCTGGTGAGAAAAAAGATATTAAAATGTCTTTATTTGACAATGTCTTCTAGACCATTATAAAAATATTTTTATATATATTTTTTATTTTGTCTTTAAAATCAATTGTATTTAAATAAATCTTATAATCATAAAAATACAAATATTCTATCAAATTTATAATATGAAAAACATGATTGCATAATAATGACAAAATATATTACATCAATGAAATATTGATATTTCTCACTTCTAGTGAGAAAAAATAATAAATTAAAAGAGATTGAATATTCTCTTTTGATAGTATCTTCTAGACACATTTTAAGGAATTTTTTTTATTTCATAGTGTCTTCAGGACTACTATAATGTCTTCAGGACTACTTTGATTCATAATAATGTAAATAATATAAATATTTGATAAAGTTCTTATTATGAAAGATGAATAACTAACCTTAAAATATTTGTCTTGAAAAATATGACCTTCTTGAAGAAAATTCTTCATAGCTTTCTCTTGTAGTTGTAACACCAATAGATAAAAGACTATCGTGCTGATAACGTGTTATAAAAGAAAGTAAAATAGAGAGAACAAAGAAGACAATATGAGATTGAGAATAGAATTTGACTTGTGTATTATCTTTGGGAGAGGAGTAACATATTTATAAGTAAACGTGGTAATTGAACAATTACACAATAAAGAAAATAATACATAACAGAAATATAAATGATAATGATTGATAATGAATATTGACATCCACTAATTAAGCCACTAATTATTATTCATAACAATTTCTTATTTTTTTTAAATTGTTAAGAATGGGGTATTACAGTCATGTATTTCTATTTTTTGTTTTGGGGCATATGCTTGAATATTTTTCTATATATTATTATATTATTCGCATGGTATCAATTCTTTAATATAGTTTTTTTAATCAAATATTTGCCATTAAGGTAGGTGTTTTTTTGTTCTTTTCAGATGTAATTCTTTCTCATTGGGTCGGTCTTGTAGAAGTAATGCTTTTATTTGTGATTTTATGTTCAAATCAAGAATTAAATTCTGGTAATTAGTTAAGAAACACAAATGTTAAATCACTTATGTTATATGTATGTTTTGATTAATGTTTCATCTATTTTACAATATTTGAGTCTATCCAAAGTTGGTGTATACTTAATTTATTGGGAATCATTTTTTTATAGTAACTAATATAACCTAATAATTCATTTACTTAAATCTAATAATTCATTTACTTAAATGTTAATTAATCATGGCAAACTAAATCAAAAATTTGTTCTCATCTCATATTAACTTTTGTATATTTTTTATGATTATT